TTAGCAGCATCGTCAAGGAATCCTTTTAGGCGTTGCACTTCTTCCAGTAAATTTTTGAACTCGTCCTCTACGCCTTTTATCAGATCTATTATATTTTCTTGTAACAGCTGCAATAAATTCTCTACGAGAAAATTCACTACAGCGTCCGCCATTGTAAATTGGATTACAAATGAGAAAAGAAAGAAGATAGTTGCAGCATATATGAACGAAGGTAAAATGAAAAAGTAAGTTGACTTTATTTTGGAATTTTTTTAAAGTTTTAAGTCTTTCTTAATTCTAATTTTAAATATAACAATAATTTAACAAATATAATATAGTGCTAGTTGTTTGCCCATAATTTTCATAAATATTGTATTTGCAAGTAGACACCATTTAATTGGTCTTTGACAATTCAATATTTACGAGAAAAATAGTCAAATATGCGCCTAAACTATTCGAAAAGGTCTATATATAGTCTCCATTTAGAGTTTAGTTCATTCATATTCTCGCCGTACGACTTTTGGTCCAAATATACTTTTATTGGCGTCAGTTGCTATGTTGGACATATTTAACTCATTTTTCATTTCTTTAAAATGTCATTTTTCAATTTCTTAAAATTATGAAACATGAGTTGGATATGTCCAACATGACAACTAACGATTATAAGGGCATATTTTGGATCAAAAATTGGATGGCGAGAGCATGAGTGAACCAAACTTTAATCGGAGGATATATCTAGACCTTTTCGAATAGTTTAGGGACATATTTGACCTTTTCCCCGTATCTATAAGGTAGTTTCTTGACAATTTGGATATATACATCGTCCTTTCTTTTTATATCATTCTTTTTACTATAAATAGTTGGACCACAATACTTGTCATTTTATAAAATTTAGGAAAAATGCATCAGTATCCCCAACTTGTGTCCTAACGACACTTGAATCATGGATAAATCTTATGAAAGAAGAATTAAGGGGTCAACAGATTTGTACTCATAAAATTATGTTTCTTCAAGTTTTATTTGTGATTGCAATTTATTTTTTGTCACTTTGAGTTTTTTCATAAACAACTTGGCACGCCCAACGGGACCGAATCTGCCCTTCATCTTCTCTTTGACAAAAAATTTCAAGTCTCGTCTTTGAGTTTCATCAAATTTACACTCCGACAAGCCTTGAAGTAGGAAACATTTGTAGATACATGGGTTACATTGGATCGTTTAAATAATTTATGGAATATTTAGACTTTCATTGAATTAAGCTAATAACAATATGTGTTCATGTTTTGGATCTTCTATGAATTATTTTGAATAATTTACTTGATAATGGTAACTCTAAGGGAGGATATTATCTCATTAGGTGTTGATCGTGACTACTGAGAATAAATAGTAATAATTTAGATATTTAGAAATAAAAAATAACATGATAAATATGTTTCTCAAAATTCAACTCCAACAAAAAATAAAAAATAAAAGAATTCCATCAAAACTCTCCTAAAAAAATTAAGAAATTGTAGAGCTAGTCCTCCACATTGTCGTAGTCTTTATCCTTTGTATATATCAAAAATAAAAAATAAAATAGTGGCACCAACATAGATGTGTTGCAGTAATAGGATTGTTTCACTTTTAATCAAATGTCTCATGTTTGATCTCTGAGTAATCAGAATAATAAGGCTCCGCTCCATTGAAGATATCAAACATCATGTGAAAATAAAAAAATAATGCGAAGAAGCTACTTTAACATCAATGTGCCTAAATACAAATCATTTTTACAAACTTTTTTGGGAAAGGGAAAATATACCTCTTGTTAACAAAATGATGTATTTATGTCGAAATCTTCTAGTAATTGATATATATATATATATAAGATTATGTTCGGCCTCATTTAAAATATAGAGATCATATGACTACATACGAGGTTTAAATTAACAAACAACAACTAATTCACAGGAATAACTTGATTAAATAATGACTTTGGCTTAATAATTGAATTGAGTCCATGATTGGATATATATTAATTATAAGTGGCATCATCATTTGTAATTAATTAATTTAACTTTCCGCTAGAACCGGATCTTACCGGGTGGGGTGCCTTCACATTGCCAGTTAATAAAATAAAAAACACTCTCCCGTTTTTATTTTATATGTCACCTTTTGAATTTCGACAGTCAAACAAATCTATCTTTGATCATAAATTTTTCATAGATCTCTTAAACATTTTGAATTATCAATTATTATGACTCGTAGTACTTTTTACGTAATTTACAAATATATAAATTTCATTTCAAAAAAATTAAAGATTTCATGCACATTCCGATCAAATTTAATTATTTGATACTTAAAATATAAAATGTATCATATAAATTGAGACAGAGAAAATAACAAATCACAACTAATTGCACACTACTTTTATTTTATAGAAGTACAACGACTTGAGAACGTGTGATAAAATGGGGACAAGGAGGAATAGGGCAACTTTGTAATGATCATAGGTTATACTAAAGTCAAATTAGTAGAAGTATTTTTAATTTTAATATTTAAGCATATCTAATGAACAAAATAATAGGTTTTGATTTTTAAATGAGTTTTTGACCCTTAATTTGTCATTTAGCAATTGAACTCATGTTGCATCTTTTTTTTTATTTGGTCGAAATTTGACATAATTTTATTTATTTCATATTATATTTATTTGTAGAGGCGCGTAGAATTAATATGATAAGTCTTGTCACAAAATGCATAGATTTAACGGCGATTTTACAATCGCCACAAAAGATTAGATATTAGCGGCGACCTATTCACCGTAGCCACTAATAATCCTTCTGAAATATGACTGAAAAATTAATTGGTTTCAAACGAAGAAATTGTCTCTATAAAAGATTTTTGGTGGCAACTTAGGATGTAACTTCAAAGTTTTATTACTAATGTGTTTGGCCTATTATTTGTACTATAATAAGTATTTATAGGAATTTGATATTTCTTCCATACTATTTTAATTAATTTAGATTAGAGCCATCAAAATGGGCTTAATATGCGAGATCGGTCCAACTCAACCCTTGAATTAAGTGGGGTTGGATCTAATTTTTTTGACCTATTTAGGAATGAAACTTTTTAGCCCAACCTCACTTGGTCCGCTAGCCTCAGAGGCAGCCCATATGATATGGATATTTAGAAATATTATATATATATATATATATATATATATATATATATATATATATATATATATATA